ATCAAAAAGACATCAAAATATATATGACCCCTAAATTTATACACAAATGTTCATAGCAACATTATTCACAATAGTAAAAAGCTGGGAATAATACAAATGGTGAGTGAATAAGTAAAATGTGGTATATCCACACAATGGAATACAATTCAGCAACAAAAAAGGAAAACTCTATGGGATTGGGAGGTGAAATTAGACAACAGGAAATTTTTGGAGGTGATGAAAGTGCCCCCAAATTGGATTGTAGCAATGTTTGTCCAGTCACAAATTTACTAAAACACATCAATCTGTATATTTACAATAAATAGATTTTGTGGTATACAAATTATACTTCAATATAGCTTTTTTAAAAAATCATTCAAATAAAAAGTCAAGTTACAGATTAGGAGAAGATAATTAAAATTTATACAATCATAGAAAAATTATAATACAGAATAAATATGTCCGTAAGTAAATATATGTGCATGTGTATGTGTGTGTGTGAACTCTTATAAATCAACTATAAATAGAAAACACAATTTTAAAAAAGGGGAAGTGGCAAAAATTATGAACAAGCAATTCACAAAGAAAACCTGAACAGACAAAAATAAACATCTAAGAGATAACGTATTTCATCATAATTAAGAAAATATAAATGAAAACCACAATAAAGGAGCAAATGCTGGCAAGGATATGGAGCAACAAGAATTCTTAACTACTGCTGGGGAGATCATAAGTAAGTACACTCCTTAGAGAGCAGTTTGACAATGTTGAAGATGCACATTCCTCATCACCCAGTTATTCCGTTTCTGGACACCATGTAAATTCTCACACATATTTCATAATACCTTAATTTTTTAATTTTAAAAAATATACAGTGATTCCAGTTCCAGGAAGCTTAATGTGGCTTCAATTCTGGTGACAAGAAACCATATGGTATATTAGAAATACAGTGTATTTATAATAACTTGGAATAAAAGTACAATATAAATAAACATCACATGAAAGGCTAAAAATTCAAGAAATTATAATTTCCTGGTGTTTTTAGATTATGTCATTAGTGGTAAATATTACAATATGATATTGCAGAATTTCTTTGTCCTTTAGAAGTTCTGATGAAATGTTATTATGAATGGTAATTTTCAATGGAATATTTTGCCCATCTTAATAAGGTTTTCAAACCTGTACTCCTTTAAATAGCATTTTTTCTAAAACATGTCTTTCTAGCATAAACATCTTTGAACAAATCTCCATACTTTTAAGGACAAAATTGAAGGTCCTTTAACAGAAATTATCCGTTCCTACTTACATCACTTCTGCACCCCTGATTTTATTCTTACACTCCCCCAATGCATCCAGATCCACTGGCCTTATGTCTATTTCTCTTTATCCCAAGCAGTCTTACTTCTGTTCATCTAGTGAGCTTTCGAAAGTGCATCAAAACACAACTCAAGCATGGCCATCTCTCGACATCTTTCCTCTTCTTTCCTCATTACCTGTTCTAGTTTGCTGCTCTTCTGCGCTTTCCTCCCCAATGCCTTCTGCATTTTCCTATTATATAAATCATACTCTACTGTATTTGTTTTTACTTATTTATTTACTTAGAAGTCTCTGCCATTGGCCAATACATTATATGTTTTTAATTGTCTTTTATCACCTGTACCAAGCAGAATTTCTCATAATTTGAGTCAATTAATCCATTTTGAATGAATAAATGGATGAATCATATTCTTTAAAATAAGTAGATGCATAGATGTGATCTCTCCCAATTCATATTTTGGGGGATGTGTTTTAAGGGCTGTGTTAAAATTGTAGGATCTAAATTCCAAAAGCATTTTGCAAAATCACTCATCTACCATAAAATTTTTGAAAACTTCAAAAATCAAATTTAAGGAAGACTGTAGTTATATTTATAGTACAGATGATAATTTTACTATGATAGATGCAGAATAAGCATGGCATACTTAAAACTATAAAATAGCTCTAGCTGGTTTGGCTCAGTGGATAGAGCATCAGCCTGCAGACTGAAGGGTCCCAAGTTCGATTTCGGTCAAGGGCACATGCCCAAGTTGCAGGCTCCATCCCCAGTAGGGGGCGTGCAGGTGGCAGCTGATCAATGATTCTCTCTCAACATTGATGTCCTGTCTCTCTCTCCTGATCCCTTCCTGTCTGAAATCAATAAAAATGTATTTTATAAAACTATAATATACGTTTGCATTGTTTTAATTTGCTGTTTTGTTTGATTATTTCAATGTGTATTACATTTTAAAAATTAAATAAAAAGGACTTTATAACTCCTCTGGGCTCTAAGATTTTAATGATGAGTCATATGAGACAATTTAAATTGTTTCTGATTCAGAGCAGTATAAATGAACTAATAAGCTGAGTATGTGACTGTTATTAAAGACTGTGAACTGATTTTGACTATACTGACTTTTTAATTTTTTATAATGAGATGGAAGACATATTACTCACTATTTCTTGCTGTCCGTATTGTCACTTAACTTGTTTCCCATAGGATTACTAAGAAGTAAATAACTATACATTAACTTTCAACTATTTTTATCCTCATCTGAGGATATGTGGTTTGTCTAAATTGATTTTAGAGAGAAAGAGGAGAGAGAGAGGAGAGAGAAACATTGATGTAAGAGGGAAGTCTATCAGTTTGCTTCCCGTAAGCACCCCCACCCAGAACCAGCCTATGGGTATACGGGACGGCACTCCCAACGCCTGAGCCCACAGCCAGGCTTAACTTTTTCTTTATAGACGTAATTTTGTTGGGTATTATAGATGACAGAGAACCATCTTAAGTCTTTTTTGGTATAAATATCTGTTGGCTTCACACCTCTACTGAAAAAACGGGTCCTGTAGTGTTTAAGAGTTATTCCTAACGTAGTTTTGTAACACTGATTTAAGGTAACATTCTTGTTAGAAAGCATAGAACAACAACAAGAAAATGTATCTGCTGATTCAGTGGAATTGTGTGGAAATAACAAGAAGATTGTAAGAAGCAAGCAATTTTCTGAAAATACAAGATAACATAAACCACATGTTCAAATAGACCCTAAATCTGAGTACTTCATCCTATTAAACAGTCTTCTGTTATCTATATTATAGAAAACTTCACTTAGTAGATGTATTCCTTTTGTCCCTGGGATATGTTGAATGTGGTGAATTAGGAGGCAGTATATTGAACACCAAAAAATAAGTTACCACAGCTCTCAGTGACTTTTCTGAAAAAATGCTTAGCGTTCTTCTATGAATGAGTAATCGGCTGTGTGTTTGAGGCTGCCCTCCATTTACTCTGTTTTTGGACCTGCACATATGTGCTCCTGAAGGACTGAAAGAATTCTGAGTAAAGGCCTTTACTGAATGAATGTCGATTATTGTTAGACTTTTTTAGAGTTCAGATTTCAGAATTGTTGCCATGTACACCAGGTTCTAAAAACTAGAATTGATTTTAAAGTGTTTTCTTGGTCTTCAGTTTTCAAACATAAGCAAAGTGTTAAAGTGGAAACAGATGATTAGAAAAAAACATGTGATGAGCATGCTGTTTTTTCTGCAATAGGAGTGGTTTTGGTGTGAAGAAGATGTCCTCATGGAAACTTCCAGTTTTACTGTCTACTTTACAATTAGCCCCCAATTTAAACCTGAATTTTCTTGGTATTTTTACCCCCACCCCCTGACTTTCTTTCCTATTGAAGTTACTTGTGTCTAGGTCTTCTTATCTTCACCTACACCATTTTACTAGTCTTCCTACTTTATTGACCGATGTATTTCCCTCAAAAGCTATCCTATATTTATTAGAGGGTTAAAGCTCCCAAAAGTTTTGCTTTGCATTTGTTACTCCTCAGTTTAAAAAGAGTCAAAAGCTAGTTTGGCTTCTCAGGACATTCTTAGACTGGGTCCAGATCTGACTTTTGTAGCCCATGAGGTTTGCATATCTGGGCCACACGCTCCTGCTGTATACTACGTGTATTTTTTATTGCACTTTGCTCAGGAAGCTCTTAGCTTGGAACGTGTTCATTTCTACACTTACCTAACAGCAACCCTTTCCTCAAAACCCCCGCCAGGCTTACTTCCCACATAAAGCTTTTCACAGCCACCAGAACAAAAACGGCCCCCTCCCTCCTGAAGCCCTGTCACGTGTACTGTGTTCTGTAATGTAAGTGCTCCTCTGCTGTCCTCTGAGAGCACCTCTGCCATAGAATTTACCGTAGACTTAGATAATTGTTGTTTCAGGGTTGCAGTTGTTGTTGACATTACGTTTTATATTTTGTTTTATATTTTTCATTAAACTATGAGTTCCTTGATGGCTGCGTTACCAGTGCTTTTTCTCTGTGCATCTTTAGTGCCGAGAAGGGGAACATAGTAATTATCTGACTGATGCTTACTAGAAATGAATTAAGTAGAATCAACCACTTATATACATTTATTTGTAATATTTTTATCTTTGTATGTAACCTTCATCTCATCAAATTTTCAATGTCTTCGACACTTCAGTGCTTCAGTTCTGTAATATAAACACTTGGAGAATAAATCTCATAGTTAATCCCTCTGGTATCCTTGTGCCTAGTACCTTGTCTTGAAAATATTACAAAAAAAGGAATGTTTGTCAATAGACTGGCTTCACAGAAAGGAGATATCTAAGTAATGAAGTGAGTCGTTTCTATCTCTATTCAAAACACAAAACCAAATTGGGAAATCATATTTTTCCCTAAAACAAATTTTGAAAAAAGTAAGACTATCATAAAAATCTATTTTTCCACACAACCTTATGGCCTATGAATTTATAATGCACAATATTTCAAATGTGCTTACTAATACGTTTACTTCTTTCCTCATATGTGATAGAGTGCTCTCTTCCTCTCCCCATTGTTTATGAGAAATGCTTAAAAATAAGTCAAAAACTGTAGCCTCTGTCTGGCACTGAGCCATCCACCTAGTACCAGATTGTCCCTTTGGTTACATTTTTCTTTCTCAACAGTTTATATTTACACACTTTCTTTCCATTTAAATTATAGCTCCTCCACAGTTTGTGGTTAGGCCAAGAGATCAGATTGTTGCACAAGGTCGAACAGTGACATTTCCCTGTGAGACTAAAGGGAATCCACAGCCAGCTGTGTTTTGGCAGAAAGAAGGCAGCCAGGTGAGTGTGAGCATCGACTGCTTCTGTGAACCCCCCTGTCTTTGGTGAGCCTCAAAGTTTGCTTTGTCTTTCTTGTTATCAATGTTGAATTTACTTTGTTTCTAAGAATGGAACCGATTCATTTTAAAATAAGTGGGAATTAGATGTTCCAGTGTTGGTTTTCTAAAATTCTGTATCTTATATAGAATAAATACAATTCCATGTAACAAACGATCTTTAATTCTAGTCAAAACCTGTCACTATTTAAACTTTCTGAACAGAAAAGTCACTTTGTTTTCTTGCACTGAACTACCCTGTAATGGTGAGACAACATACAGCACTTAGAACATCCTGTCAGTATACATTTCCGTTATTAAATTGCCAGGAAACAAATTTCAGTTACCTTCCTAGGTAAATAGTGTAAATAACTTTTTCTTTATCATTAAGTTAAGCATGCTTCCATTTAAGTGTGGGGAAAAATATTTTGTTCCATCATCCTTTCTAGATTCCTTCACAGTAGAGTTGGACAGACAATAATACATTACAAACTGGAAGCAACTAACACTTTGGTCTTTGCTGTGCACTGGTTTATCCTCTCTGAGCAGCAGGTTTCTCAGATTCTCTGCTAAAATTCAATTGGATGCACAATTTTTCTCATTTAAGACTTGGTCCAAACTGTGATGAACACTCAGCCTCGAGGTGCGGAGGTTATGTTTGGAATTTCCAGCTTCAACCAGATCAGAAATTGGGTCCTTTGTCTAAGAACTTATCTGTACTTTCCTGAAGGACTTAGAGATATTTTTTCTAGATGTTCCAAGACCATCGCCAAGGAGACATGTAGTTCTCAGGAAGAAGCCTATAGTGCTCCTCCTCAGCACCTTCTGCTATTTGGCCAAGTCCTGGAAGAATTTTCTGAGGAACAATGGAAACCACGATTATCAGGAAATCGAAAAACTTTGATTTTAGATACGTATGGGGAATTGCCATAGCCTTCATTAAGAGAACCTGTTGCTCAGAACTCAGGCATGATCATCTGGGTAGAGAGGCATCAGGAAGTTCCCTCAGTGATCTTTTTAATTCTTCTGGGCTCCTATCTATTCCTGTTACACCCCAAACTAGCAGTTTTATAAAACTTGAGCTGCATGGACAAATTGTCTCTCCTCCCTTCCTGAATGCACCTGATGCAGTCACTCCCCTATGATCTGTGGGGTGTAAAATTAGTGATGGGAAGATAATATAAAGTGCTGACCACTGCCTTATCTAACATTGGAACTGTTTCAGGCCTTATTTCCTATCTTTTTTAAAATCACTTTGTAACTATAAAATTGATATCTACACATAAAGTTCCTCAATTCTTCACTTAAAAATTGATTTTGGATAAAAGCATCACACACTCTAAACTCACTGTTAAACAACATGACCTTAGCTATAACACACACACACACACACACACACACACACACACACACACGAACAGGAAAGAATTCTAAAGCCATTTTCCCTCTTGTGAATGTACAATCTTTGCAGCACTATTCAACTTTACTGAAATTTTCTCAACTTAAAATATGAGGATAATACATTTTACTTCACATAAGTTATGGAGATGTCATAATTTAGTTAGTTTATATAGAAAAGTGCCTTACATATTATGAAGGTCAACAAGATATCATTTCTAACATCTGGTTAGAAATGGGAAAATGCAGAATGCACCCGCTCCCCACTGAGTCCTGGCTACGTGGCAAGTTCATGCTTCTGCTCAGGTGAAGGCTGCAGGGCCTGAGGTCTTCCTCCGCCCGGACACTGTTGTCCAAGACCAAGGAGAGGCTCAGCACTGCTCCGGTCCCCTCTGCTCCCAGACCCACACAGGCCTGGGAAGGCTGGGGCCGGGAGAGAAATAGATATTATTTATTTATAAACGATGCAGGTAACATGATGTAAAATAATTTGATTGTGGCAAATCTACACTGTAAATCCATGTATTGAGTCAAACACCATTGTAGCATGTTTTGTTATTATATAGATACAGCTATATCATGTGTGAATCCCATGCCCTGAAATAGCTCCAGGTTATAAGATATTGCAGAAAATGTGCTTTGTTCCCATGGCCAAATAAACATGATATTTTAATATGCTACATGGTGTTTTAATGGTGCTGAAAAAGTAATGATTAAGTAACTTCAGATAATTTCTTCTTCTGTTATTTGACAAATCATTATGTAATTCCATAGACGTTAAATTTTCCATTTAGATGATCTGATTTGCTTATAATCTTAGGTCTGTTTTTTTTTTCCTTCTCTACCTGTCTTCCTCACATCAGAGAGAGAGAGAGAGAGAGAGAGAGAGAGAGAGAGAGAGAAGAGAAGTGCTGGAGCATATTGGAAAATTTTAAATCATGAATTGGGGTATCAGGAAAAATAAATTGGTTTTACTATCTCCAGTATCCAATTTTTGCAGTGATCTATGACAATCCTTCAGAAGAGAGAGTTAAGAGCCTGGACTTAATGGTCCGTATTCCTCAATATGTGCTGATAATGCCAATTAGCACTAATAGGATACCCGGGCACTTCAAAGCAAGAAGAGCTCTGTAAAATTCTGGGTTTTGCTTGTAATCCATTATCTTTTGCCTAAGTCATACAAGCAGGGAATAAAAGATGATGGGTTAACCTCAATCACATGTCATTTTCCATGTCAACGAATCATTTAGAAGGTGGACTAATATTACATTGTAGAGGAAGAGATCCCAGAGAGAATTAAACCCATCTAATGTATTAGTGCTATGTAAATCAGTATTCTAATGGCTAATTGTAGGAAAGTGCACACTTTGAGTTATTGTATCATTTTCAAGTGGCTTTAAAATTTAGACCCTTCTCTTTCAGATGGTTTATTTCAGTAATATATCTGGATTCCATGGGAGAATTAGCTTGTTCGCAAATGATGTTTCATATGATAAAAATGTCTATCCTTGTATAGTAATACAAATTTTATAACAGGGCAATGGCATTTTGAAATTATGCTCCTGACATGCTAGCAAACATCACTTCTTTTAGAAAGGGTTTAACAACATGGTAATGTTTATGTAAAGTGGGCTTATGGTGTCACACTTGAATCTAATAAAGTGGACATCCATCATGTTGCAATAAAGAGAAGAGCTTCTAATTAAAGTAGGACATCATTCTCAGGATTAAAGTCATTTAGCGTAATTGAAAAGTGTTAATACCCTATTTTATCCTCTTCCATTGGTATTACTTCAAGGGTAAAAAACATTTTAAGGTGAAATGTGTCTTATGCCTTTAATTGAATGTTATTATCTTCTTATTTTAACGTATTGAAACTGTTTAATTACAAACCTGGAAAATTAATTACTATATTGAGAAACAGATCGCATAGGGTTATAATGTCTGTTTTGTAAATAAATACAACATAAAATTGATATGTTCTTATTTATAATCCATCTTGGAAATATATCTCAATATAATTTATTACACCCAAATGTTTTTCTTAATTGAGTAACAGTAAAACAACATAGGTCATGGCAGTTAATATCCCTGCTCTCATATGAAAACATTTTAAAGATTGTGATTAGTCTGCTTATATTTAATATGAGATAAATAGTAAACTAACTTAAGAAAAAGTATTATTATGAAATTTTTTTAAGATTGCACACATACTTCAGAAAGTCTTTATCTTCTCTTTATTTTCTTTGATTTGCCTATTAATCTTGCTTGGCCTGCAGCATTTGTTCATAGTTCACTTTGAGGCTCTTATGATGCGTAGAAAACTTACAGCACAAGTAGATTGGGCTGTGTGTCAGTCTCAGTAACACATTTTTTTGTCACATCATTAGGAGAAATTTTGATAATATCAAATATTAAAAATGATCAGCAGAAATATATTTTGCATTCTTGAGTAATGTGCAGCATATAAAATGTATGCATAGTTGATGTTTCATTACATATCCTCACTTTCTTATGAGTTGAGTCAGATAAGCATTATTATGCCCATTTTACAGATCAGCAAACCATGTTTCAAATATATGAAGTAATTATCAGAAAGTTAGGAAAAGATGAAACTGCTAAGATACTTATTTTTTAAAGACGATTGTGCCTTCAACTAGAGCATATTAAGAGCTGGTTTTTTAGAGCATATTATTTTTCCATCATTTGCAAAAAGTTTCTCAGTGAAACTCACAATATGCCATTAAATTATTTCAATACTATGTGTTTTTTTTATTAAACCTATGTATTTTCTTTTCCAACCATATTCCCATAACTGCAATAGCTATTGTTAGTGTAATTTTCCTTCCAAATGGGAAAAGAATATTGATGAGATTGTGTTTGCTTCCACAGAACCTGCTTTTCCCAAACCAACCACAGCAGCCCAATAGCAGATGTTCTGTGTCACCAACTGGAGACCTCACGATTACCAACATTCAACGTTCAGATGCGGGTTACTATATTTGCCAGGCCCTAACTGTGGCAGGAAGCATTTTAGCAAAAGCTCAACTGGAAGTTACTGATGGTGCAGTATTATTAGATTTGTCTTATGGAAATAATGGTTTTTAAAAAATGGTTATTCGTTGATGTTTAGAAAGAGAGAGTAGGGACAGGGAGAGAGAGAGATCAATTTGTTGTTCCACTTATTTATGCATTTATTGGTTTATTTCTATATATGCCCTGACTGGGGAATGAACCTGCAACCTTGGCATATTGGGATGATATTGTAACCTGACCAGGGCATACTTTTTAGTGCAAGATTCACATTAACATGTGAAATGTTCTGATTTGTTAGTTAAATTATTTTAATAAATTCTTATCATTTTAGTTTGGATCTAGATAAAATAAAATTTTTAATAGTTTATAATTCTCCTTGATTTAATACCATTTATTTTCCCAGAGAACTTCCAAGATAATCTATTTATTGTTAAAAACATAGTGATGCATTATTTTAAAGAAATGATACCACAGTCAAATTGTATAGACATGTTCTCTGTATATTTTAATTAGTTTTATGAAGACATGCTTGCTTCTAATAGATAATAATATTATTTTACTAGAGGAGAAATATAGCATCTTTAATATTCAGTGGAAATGGAGATGGGTTTTTAGTTAGCTAGTGACATCCTATGACTTTTTAATTATACATCCACTGTGTTAAATTAATTAAACACCTCAAAACTGCTGTTGGATGCTAAAATTATTATTTCTTTATTTGAACAGATGTACTAGGAATCTTAAACGAAGCACCTATATTCATAGCAAAAATTGGAAAAGAGACAAGAGCTTTAACTGATTTTTCCCCCAACAGCTTGTCACAAATGACAACTAGGGAGTTTTTGATACTTTTTTAAACCTATGAGCATGAATTTAAGCTCTATTTTTTTGATGCCTTAAATTTTTTTTCTGCTCTCCTATATTTGTGAATTTGTGGGTAGTATTTTTGTTTGTTTGTTTTGTTTTCTTGACACTATGATTCTGAGACACAAGAGCTTCTGTCTGTGACCTCTCTGATTCTCTTCTGGTGGAATGTGCTTTCATACAATTCACATTTACATGTAGATTAAAAGGTCATTTAAAATTAATAGGAAGGCAATGCTTTGTAATGTTCGTGCTATTGCCTGATTCAGCACATTGGCAGGAATGGAAATAATGTAAATAGAACAGACAAACGTTGGCTGTGGGGTCCTGGGTCGTGAATGGTTGCACTTGCTGCTGCTGCAGAGATTCGCTGCTGCCAAAGGGAAAGAAGCCAGGTTCAGGAAGGATCGGTGCTGAGCTGTTCCTGTAGCTGGACATGACCTTTTACTCTTCATGCGTCCATATTTCCTTAATCTAAGTATAATTGTTAATCTTTGTTAAGATTTTAAGTTTTCTACTATGAACAAAAATGTCCAGGTACATATACTTGGAAAATCTGATATTCTGGCCAAAGCCAAGTTTTAGTCTACACTATTACAAAACATTTGAAACAACACTTAAGATCTCTATTGCAATCCTTTGAAGATCTTAGTTTATATTATTTTACAAAAGACAGACTCTAAAATATTATTAAATGAAGAAAATTTTATGGAAAAACATATTTGTAGAAAATAAAATTGAGGAATTAGAAAAGTTGGTTTATGGTATGACTGTGGTTCATGAAACAGGTGGATATTCAGAATTATGATTAATATAATGGAACAGAAAATTTTTGTTTTGAGAATTTATGTTAGTTGATGACATGATCACACAAAATGCAGTACTTATTCTAACTGCGTTTCTAAGGTCAAAATTAAGACAGTGATAAACAGTTTTAAATCTGTGAACAAAATGGCTCTGTACATTTTCCTACAACTGGCTTGAATATTAATTACTACATTGATTTTTACTTAAGTAAGCAATCTCAAAATCAGGATCCTTTTTCAGAAACATTGAATGAAGGTTATAGAGTTATTGATTTTTAGAGTAAAGAAACCTAACTTCAAGGCTCGCACACACGTGTTATTATTGTAAACAACTCTGTCTCCAAATTTTAACTTGCCACATTGGTTGATAACTTCAGCTTTAGTGTTTTGAATTTTTTAATTTGGTTAGCAATTTAAAAATATGTGATCCATTATTTTTATTTTCAACATTTTTTGTGAGCATGATTCAGGGCCATGTAGAGCCAATTGAAATTCCAATGAAGAATGAAAGCATATGCCATGTTCTGAGAAACAGGCAAAACATCTATAGCAATGCTTCTGTTATGTTTTTACACTTAGACTTCTTTCTCAGAAATATTTTTAGCTCAAGTGTTTATATAAGATGAGATTGCTAATGGTGATGAAAGGAACTTTTAAATGATAATTTTACTGATTATAGATTGAGATAAGATGCTTCAATATACTCGAGTTTTAAAATATCCCATTAAAATACCTCATTAATTCATTGCTACTATTCTTCATTTCTTCTTTTCTTCTACACCTTGTCTTTGAGAAAATGAAAATATTGTAATGAGAATTCTATGAGTAGAGTCAATAGAATCTAAAAGGACTGATGGGAAGACATGTACTTATATCTTATATTGACAAAAAATGTTACATCACAATCTTATATGACTGATTTATTGGAGATTTATAATGCATAGTCAGAGAAAACCATGGAGTTGTTCACAGATCATTGCAAACCCTAAGTGTTCATTCAGCCATTGTCCTTAATGTGATGGAAACCTGTGGTCATCTTTCACCCATAACACGATTGAACAGAAAATTCCTTCTGGCCAGGAGAGTTTTAATTACTTTATTGATCAAATTCATTTAAAATAGGATGAGTGAAATATTTGGGAAGTAAAAAATAAATAAATAAATAAATAAATAAATAAATAAATAAATAAAGTAGATGCATTTTGGCTATATCTAATGATTTCAAGAAAATGAAAATAAAACTAGGTTATAAGAAGTTCCCTGAATTCTATATAGATATTTAATTAGAAAAAGTTATTTAAAACTTACTAAATAGTATCTACTCTGCTACTACAGAACTATTTTTCTTGCTGAATTTAAAAATTATAATGTTTTGTGAATTGCCTTTCCTGTTTTGGTCCATGAAGTAAATAAATTCTATGGAACTTCCCATTTGAATATCTAATTGCCCAATTATTGCCAGAGGTGGCTAATTGATATGATATTGTACTTTCACATTCTCTGATGATTATTTTATTTACCTTTAAAGTGAATAATTTGATTAAGGAAATCAGTAAAATAATAGGTCTAATTTGTTTTGTAAAGAATACGTGGGCAGTATTTTATTGTTTTTCGTGGGTTTTTATAAGATTTTCTACATACATACACACATACATACATGCCTGCATACAGATTTTAATGTATATTTTGATGTAGTAGGTTTAGGTTGGTTGAAAATCTACTACATCTTTCCGGGCAAGGGACCAATATAATAACTTGCATCTTTAATTAAAATTGATTGGTTTTCTCGTGATAGGCTCTAAAAAGGCTGCTTACTGTATTGCTTTTTTCTCAGGACTGTAAAGAATAGAAAAAAAGATGATGCATATAGGTTGAGAAATAATCATATACTGGCATTTATACAAACTGATAGACAAAATGATTAGAAGATTGATAGGCAATAAGACTATTTTATTATGAACATTGTAATATAACATGATCTTGAGAAAAACTCTCTTCACAATTGCTTAGTGGAAATAGAATCCACTATAGTTTTATATATAAACTAAATAATAGTTCTCATAGTTCAAGGGTCAACAGTGTATGTGTGTATTTTGAAGAAATGGCTAAAATTATATAAGATCAACCTGGAGCATCTTCTAGTATCAGAAAGAAAGGAAGTACTCAGAAAAACAAAAACAAAAACTCACACATTGTTGGGGGTTGGAGGTAGATGTCAAAGGAGCACAGGAGCCAAATGAATGAACACCCAAAGGCCAATGTAGAAATTTGAGCAGCAAAACAAATAAAGTGGTATTGGAGTATAAGTCAAAATATAAAATAAATATGCATGAGTACATATTGATAAAAATATGGTTAAATAAATTAATAAGTGGAGAAGAGACAAATCTTCTGTGCACGATATTTCTAAATATTTTTGTAAATACTCTGCCCTCAAGGAAGTGGAGCATAACTCCCCACTCTTTACGTGTGGACTACTTAGAGGCATTCCTCCCTGAGAGTACAGCTATGAAAAGGGGTAAATTTAACTTTATGGTGGAGAAACCTAACAAACACCCCTCAGCCAGGTGATCACAGTGAACATCAACAGTGGTATGTCTTTTTTATAAATTTACAAAATATGTCCCCCTCACCCATCTCTCCCATACCCAAGCGCTTCCCTGCCTCTGGCAACTGTCATCTTCTGTATCTATGGTCTTTTTTTGTGTGTTTGCTTGCTTGTTTGTTCTAAATTCAGGTACAATTTAAAAATTGATATTTATTTTTTCAATTTTAAAACATTTAATTTATTATATATATTTTTAAAACATTTAAAAATACACACAACACACACACACACATACACATACACACACACACACACACACACACACACACACACACAGTTGACCCTTGAACAATGTGTAGGTTAGGGGTACTGACCTTCTTTGCAGTTGAAGATCCATGTATAACTTTTGACTCCCCAAAATTTTAACTAATAACCTACTGTTGACCGACAGCCTTACAGATAAAATAAATAGTTGATTAACATATGTTTTCTATGCTGTATTATATATTGTATCCTTACAATGAAGTAATCTAGAAAAAAGAAACTATTATTAAGAAAATAATATATATGCATGAAATTAAAAATCATATCTTGGATAATTAACCAAAATCTCTGTTTAAGTTTATAGAACTTTCTCTTAATTCTAAGAATATTTCCTTTGACCTGGACATGTAAGCTTGCCTCCATTTGACTCCATATTTTCATTACCCATTTAAATAATACTATATATTCTGATATATTTCCTAAATCATTACAAAATACTTCTAAAGACACTGAAGATAAAATTTAATTAAAAACACACTGAAATAAAAGTTGAAATTATGGAAAATTTATCCAACAAATACAGGAATTGATAGATATGTAAACACTATTGAAAACCCAATGTTTGTCATACCATAAATAAAGTCTAATTAGATTGCTTATCTTTGCTTAATTGTAAGGACCAATTAAGTTATATCATCCAAATTATGTTACTATAATTTAAAGACTCAATAACAATTTTGGATATAATTTTATAATCAAATATTTTGACATCAACAGAAATATTATAGCCTATATACATAAAGCATGTAACTAGTGATTGCAAGGGTGAAATTATGTATTATGCATATATTTATAATAAAATAAAAGTGAAAATTGATTCTACTCATGTATCCTCCACTGTCTTTCTTAAATATGCATATGAGAGATAAAACAGACATTTTATGATGGCTGTAATAAGCTGTCCATATTTTCATTTTAATATGATTAAGCCTTTCAGTAACAGTAAGCCTTTCTAAAATGTTAGAATTTTATGCCATTAGCATCTTAATCATAGGTAATTCAAAGTTATAAATAATAATATGGCTTCAGTATAGTGTGTACAGATGATAAATATTTGATGGATACAGAATAAGTTATAAGTAATATTGATTTGGGGGCTTTAACGTTACTTTCTATATCAAGACTACTGAACTTTAGAGCAGTTAAAATGTTCTGAAAATATCTTTGTCCTTTAGTTTTAACAGATAGACCTCCACCCATAATTCTACAAGGCCCAGCCAACCAAACACTAGCAGTAGATGGCACAGCATTACTGAAATGTAAAGCAACTGGTGATCCTCTTCCTGTAATTAGCTGGTTAAAGGAGGGATTCACTTTTCTGGGTAGAGATCCAAGAGCAACTATACAAGACAAAGGAACATTGCAGATTAAAAACTTACGGGTAAGTAATGTTCAACTTGTAAGTATCTTTATCTCAACTTATGTACTGACCTAGAGAAAACTGTGCGTGAACTTAAAACCTCATATCCCTGCACATTGCTCTACATTTTATCATGGTCCATGTTAGTTCTTATTGTACAAATGATGAATTCCAATTAGAGGGAATATCATTGTTCTTATGTTACTCATAATTTTTAAGCAGACTTAGAAAGTTTTTACTCCTTCATCCAAACCCATCCTATATAATGAAGAGCTAATATGCAAATGGTTGTCACACCCTCACGCAATCATGCCTTAATGGCTCAGATACTCAACACAAGGGAGAGAGGAATGGGGACCAGGCAGGAACAAATGAGCTTGTGAGAGAGAAATGGGAAGCAGCCAGGCTGTGGCTCGGGAGAGGAACAAGCTGCCTGCCCCGCGGTCCCGGGCGCCAGTGGCTGGGCCTGCACCTGTGGCCTGGGAGAGGGACAAGCCGCACACCTCACAGTTCCAGGCACCAGCGCCTGTGGCTGTGGCCCGGGAGAGGGATGAGCTGCCTGCCCCATGGTCCCGGGTGCCTGCAGCTGCAGCCCAGGCAAAGCCGCCTGCCCAAGGTCCCCTGCAGCTGCAGCCGGCTCGGGCAAAGCCGGCCCAGGTCCTGGGTGCCTGCAGCCATCCAGAGGGAGGGAAGATCAGGTCCTGAGTGCAGAGGTGGTTAGGGGTGATCAGGCAAGCAGGGTAGCAGTTAGAGGAGATCAGGCAGGCAGAGGTGGTTAGGGGCGATCAGGCAGGCAGAGGTGGTTAGGGCGATCAGACAGGCAGGCAGAGGGGTTAGGGGCAATCAGCAAGGCAGACAGGCAAGCCATCAGGAGCCAGAGGTCCAGGATTGCTAGAGGCAGTCAGACATCCCCCAAGAAGTCCCACATTGGAGAGGGTGCAGGCTGGGCTGAGGGACCCCTTCCCGTGCACGAATTTCGTGCACCAGGCGTCTATATAATAAAAGCCTAAGCGACTGTTATGGCAGAGCAACCAGTCGCTATGATGCACACTGACCACCAGGGAGAGATGCTCGACAGAGGAGCTGCCCCCTGGTGGTCAGTGAGCTCCCACAGGGGTAGCGCTGCTCAGCCAGAAGCTGGGCTCAAGGCTGGCGAGTGCAACAGCAGTTGTGGGAGCCTCTCCTGCCTCTGCAGCAGCACTAAGGAGCAGTGTGCCCAGCAGTAGGGAGCCTGCTGCTAAGGAGAAGCGAGCCAAGCAGTCAGGAGCGATCAGGCAGGTGGTAAGGAGCAAGGGGTCCTGGACTGCAAGAGGGATATCCGACTGCCGGCTTAGGCCCGATCCCCAGGGATCGGGCCTAAGCCGACAGGTGGACATTTCCCCGAGGGGTCCCATACTGTGAGAGGAAACAGGCCAGACTGAGGGACCCCTCAGTATGTACATAATCCATGAAATTAAAAATCTTAATTACATAAAGTTAATGATAGGAATAGAATATTTAAATAATTTTAAAATGACAAATACATCTGATTTAAACTCATGAACAAAGGACATTTATAAGGAAATGTGGATAAATTGGCTTGACCAAACAGCTGTGTGGAAAACATAAAGAGATGAGACTGAATAATAGGAGACAGGTTTAACTAGTTCATAAAATATCTTACATTTTAGGTTAAGTTGCTATAGAGTTTAAATATAAGCCTGTGGACATACACTTAGCCTTGTTGGTCTTTTAACAGAGGATGCCTGTTCCTGCCAACTTAAGTAAGTTACACCTGCTTCAGGATCAACTCAATCAAAATAAATGTTTACTTCTGAGTATTGTATTAGCTATGTACTACTGTGTAACAAATCAGCAAAAACATAGAGGCTTAAAGCAATACACATTTACTACCTCACAATATCTGTGGGTTAGAAGCCTGGGCATGACTTAGTTAGGTTTTCTGCTTTAGGGTCCAAAAGTCTATAATCAGGTGGGTCATCTCATCTGAAGATTGACTTGGGATAGATTTGATTCCAAGCAACATGATAGCAGCAGCACTCAATTACTTGTGACTGATGACTTTAGCATCTTTCTTACTGTTGGCTGCCTTTAGTTCCTTGCTATATGGATATTCCCAATGTGATTGCTTGCTTCCTCAAAGTCAACAAGAAAGAGAGTCTCCTAGCAAGAGAGGCATTGCTGTTCTAGCAGCATGATCAGAAATATGACATCCTGACACCCTTGCTTAATTCTGTTGGCAAGAAGTAAATCAACAGGCCTTCCACAGGCAAGCTGAGGGATTATACAAGGTGTAACTACCAAGAGGATATATCATGGGGGTGACCTGCCCTTCAAAAATATATTCAATTCATTCAACCAAATATAGAGAGCCTCCCTTTATGCAGCAAGCACTATGCCAACACTTGAATGTATATTATAGTAATCAAAAGATTGGGAATGAGGGCCAGCACTAAGATGGTTGATGTAATAGTGCACAAATAAAAAATCAATTGAAAATGATTCAGTGGAAGAAGAGTTAGTAGAATCTGGTCTTTGGGGAGAAATTAGGAACCAAGATGAAGAAAAAAACAAAGCAAAAAAAAACAAAAAACAATGTTGAATTTTCCCTTTTACAATGCTCATAATGTTCACTTACAATGCCAAATTATTTGCAATCATACACTTAGTTTGTATTTATCAATATATCATACAGATACATATACAAAAAGGAAAATTTTCTCTATTTTTACATTGTGTGTGCACACACAGACACACAAATATTCAATATATTGAATGCATTTTTATTTTAAGGCACAAGCATTAATTATTGCTCGAAGTAGGAAAAAATGCTTTTTAATTCAGTTAAAAGAAAAATAAATTAATATAGATTTTAGCCTGTCTTTTTATTGATTGTAAATTAATTGTTAACCTTCTATGAACAAAATGGGAGTTATTAAGAAATTAATGCCAACTCCCCTTGAGTAAACATTTTAACCTCTCTCTCTGTGGGCTAAAGGCAGACTTGGGCCATGGAGGTTAATGCAGTTTCACTGTACTGCTGAATTAGAGGTTGTGCTTGAATGGTCAGGATCCCAAGTAATGTTTGAAAAAAGCAATTAAAGGTGGGTGCTTGATGATGTCAAACTCTGAGCCCTCTGACAGACTCCTGAGTAGTCTGTCTGAGATGCAGGCTCCTGGGGGCTTGTCTGCAGCCAACAGCACAAGGAGTACAGTAGGTGATGGAGGCTGACAGCACATGAATCTCTTTTTAAAGCACTTGCTTAAGGATAAAAGGAAAAGGGTGGGAAAGCCTTGAAATGCCTGTGATCAGAAAAGACATTATTTAAAGTTGAAGGAATAAAAATGAATGTGATGATGATGATGACATAGGAGTGACTTTTAGCAATGAGATTTAGGCTTTTGATAGCACTTTTGCTAAACCAAAAAAATGATTCTCTTTCTGTAATATGACTGTCTTTAAAGGGAGATAAAAAAGGGTTTTGCAGTACTTCACTCATATCAAAAGACTTTCTGTAGGTTATACTTTTGTGTCTCACTATTTTTTTTGCTACTTAATGCAAGAGGGGAAATAGAATGATGAACATTGTGTTCCTATAGTTCAGCTAATTGGTTGCTGAATCTGTATCTTTTGAGAAGTAGAAAATTTGAACACTCATTAAAACATATCTACCACAGCTAATGTCAGACTTGTATCTCCCCACAATGACAAGGAGATCTGTTAAGAAGCTTTACCTACATACCCTTCTTTTAGCATTTGCATGTAATAACAAATGCTACATTTTAGTTCAACAGCTATAATAAAATGCAAATTCTTCACTCTTTCAGAGACCATATTCAAATGAACATCCCATTAAAATCCAACTCAGCTCATTATATTTAGTTTGTGAGTGATGCTTCTTAAATGAACAGATTTCTAATGACTAATGTGCTCAGCCACATCTGAAAGAAGAGCTTTTCCCACAAAGGCTCTCCCCCATCATCACTTCCATAATGGAAGATCGTTGTATGGAGATGATATTGCAAAGAATGATGTTCCAGAGCAATTTGAACCTTAGGTTAAAATACATAATGACATGTAAAATAAATTAAAATGGAATCACAGTAACATCCATGAACTAAAGATTTACATGAGAATCAATTGTGAAAAGTTCAGTCATCCATACACTTACATTTTGAACCCAGCAGGTAGTATATTCTATGAACTCCCATATTTCATCAACAATTAGACTCATGTTCACTGCAGAATTTTGATTCTATATTTAACTTGCCTTATTCTGTGTGGTCATCAGTTTCTCTTTCCAGTCTCACTCTTCCTTCAGCCCTAAACTGATACCAATTAATGTTTGCAATGTAAACCCACAGGGTTCAACCACACATCTTATTTAATCTTGAGGCTTTTGTCAATGCATGATCATAGATTATTCTTCATTTTATATTTGTAAAATAGAACTTTTGATTATATTATTAATTATTCCTAAAAGTCTTTTGTTATTCTTCAACAAATAACAGAAATATTTTAAGTGATTAATAAAATGGCTACTTTTATGTATACTTATAAAATGAGTTATGTATTAGATTATTTCTGTGGTCTCTTTCAGCTCTAAAATTGCAATTTTCCATTGGCATGATTTGTTTATTTTTTAATGATATAATTATATTCCATTCACTGTTATACTGCTACAACTTAAATATAGCTGGATACTGATCTCTTTAAAGGGAAATATTTAGTATTTTTAATTTTTTAATATTTTCAACAAATTATTTTAAACACTTTAATTCTCTCCCCACCTTGCTCACTAGATTTCTGATACTGGAACTTATACTTGTGTGGCTACAAGTTCAAGTGGGGAGACTTCCTGGAGTGCTGTGCTGGATGTCACAGGTGAATTCTTTGTGAATTATCTTCCCAGAATTTATCTTCTCAAGAAATCTTGCATGCATTTTAGTGATTACCTCATTATCAAATACCAAGTTAAGAAGAGATCAATATTTTAAATTCATTAAATGTAAAAATTGTCATGCCACTTTTTAATTCCTGCACCTCTTACACATAGCATCGCATATATGCAATTTGATACATTTTTTCTTGACAACCTTATTTTATTTTCTAAATCTAAAGAGAAAGCAATCCTAATGATCATGTGGGAAAGCAAACATTTAGTAACATGTAGGAAAAGCAAATGTTCACTTATATACTTTTGTTCACTGACTAGGTCACTTATTTAATATACGATTTTTCTTTTTTAACCATAGTCGTCAGCATATGCATTCAGGAATGAAGCTTTTTCTGTTTGTCCTCTACAGAATCTGGAGCAACAATCAGTAAAAATTATGATTTAAATGACCTGCCAGGACCACCATCCAAACCACAGGTCACTGACGTTACTAAGAACAGTGTCACCTTGTCCTGGCAACCAGGTACCCCTGGGACCCTCCCGGCAAGTTCATATATCATTGAGGCATTCAGGTATGGGATACTTCCTATGTTCTCCATTGGGTTTTGCTTTAGTTCATATGTTCTCAAATCTCCTGCTTTTTTATTTTAAGGATGTGATCAATCAGTACATTTTAAGAATTTACTTTAAATCTGACTTTATTCAAGAATAGACTTAAGTGTGTTTCTTTTTCATTTTAACCTTAATTATAAGATTAAATATGTATTATCCCTGCCTAAGTTTATAGGAATCTAATTATGACATAATCACTTAGCTCCTTTGTTTACCCTGTCCATTATAAGGATTTAAGATGAGAATTTCGGCATTAGAAGTAAGCAAAAAATAATTTAATTAGGCACAAGGACCTTTTAAGTTATGCAATGTTTATTGAGGCACAGAACCTGGAATTTTGCCTCCTAATACTTACAGCAGAACTTAAAATAATTCCATTTGAATACATATTTAAATACATCTATTGGTTATGCTTAAGAAAAAATTAAAAACTACAACTAAAAAATTATTGTATGTATCTCTGGTTGCTGAAAGTAAAAGATATGTTTAGTTGTTACTTGAAATAATTGTCATCAGTTTAAGGATATAAACTATAAGCTAGCAAATGTCATTATAAAAAATGTCTTATGGGAATTTAATAAAATACTTACAAATAGGAAAATGTAGTTTTGTATTCAGTTTCAATGTGCTTTTATTGCCATTATAAAGATAGTGATGGCCACTGTCCTTTACAAGCATTAAGACAAATGCTTAAAAATGCTTTCATTTTAGTTTCTTATAGTCCATTTAATGGAATGATGAGCACCTAGTTTTCAAATTTCAAAATACATTTTTCTTTAATTCCCATGCTTTGATGCAAAGGACTTACTTCTGAAAAGTTAATGGAAGGTGCTGAAAATTGCATTTTCTCTTCATTTTAAACAAAAGGAATACTTGATCTCAGACAAAGTGCTGTATACGGGCATGCTGTCTGTAACTGGCTGTAAGGGGTTCAGAGATAGTTCCTCATTCCAAGAGGACCTGTCATGTATGATTTTATTAAAAATGTGACCAGAGGAAAATACTCATCCAATGCTTCCTTCCTTCTTTTACAGATATGTAGTTTTAGAAGGCTTTATTATAATATTGTATGTGGAAATGATCAAAAGAAAACACACCTTGTAACAGGAAAATGTATTGGCATAATTTACTCTGTAGTCCATTTATTCTTTCTACAGGTTAATTCTTTTCAAGGTATATATATATATATACATACATTTACGAGGACCATATTTATTGTATAAACTTGATGTTGTGATCTTGGCCTCTGTTCCTTTTACAGGTATTCATTTAGTGGGCTGCTGTGCATTAGCAAAGGGCTGTTACATCTTCTGGGCTGAGTTTAATTTTGTTGTGCATGGCACTTTCGTTAGGTGGGCTTGGCTTTGTTGTTGTATAAACTGAAATCATCCAAATGTTTCATTTATTGGGCTGAACACTCCAAGTGTTTTTTGTGTGTGTATGTGTGTGTGTTTAATTTTCAGCCATTAACCTTTGTCATTGATACCCAATTCCATTTCCAGTACCTTTATGACTGGACCTTAAATGAAATTTCTGTTCTTGTTTCAGCCAATCAGTGAGCAATAGTTGGCAGACAGTGGCAAACCATGTAAAGACCACCCTCTATACAGTGAGAGGACTGCGGCCCAATACAATCTACTTATTCATGGTCAGAGCGATCAACCCCCAAGGTCTCAGTGACCCAAGCCCTATGTCAGATCCTGTGCGCACACAAGGTAATTTCAAGAGCTGTAAATATGACTGGCTCTAGAAGGAGGCATTAGCACATCTGTAAGAACAAAGAGATTGCACCAGGAAGATAAATGTGTCTGTATTACTTGTTATAATGATTCACTAGAACTGCAGGGAACACGCTGTGCACCGTGGTGAGTGTATCCTCTTTCTTGAGGTGTCAGGGTCTATTTAGTACCAAATAAACCAAATAATTGAATATATTCACATAATAAGAGTGAATAAACTAATTTAAGGCTTTACTATATTTCAAAAGAAGGAAAAATATTTCTCCTTTTTTTGAAATTAATTATACAGTGATCTGGAATGGCCAGATAAAGACATCATTACTCCCTACTGTTTAGAAATTCTGCTTCTATAGTGCAGTGGGTCTCAAGGTGTGGCTTCCATGGAAGCAACATCTCATCACCTGAGACCACGTTAGAAACGCAGGTGCTCAGTCCCCGTCTCAGATGCTCTGGGAGTGAGGCCCAGTAGTCTGTGTTCAGGTGCCTGGCAGATGTTACTGATGTTTTTGACAATTTTGACAACCATCGCTACAGTGTATTTTATTAAACCAGAGATTTAAAGGAGCAATTTGTTTCAGAAAGGAGTAAATCAAGTTTTCTTCCAGAGGTATGTAATTCTTTTGACTAATTAAAAAAAAAAACCTACCCAGAACATTATAACAAGATGAAATGGAAGGTATCTCATTTCATTTTTAGTAGCCTGTCTCTTCAAAATGAAAAGTCACTGGAGTCTAAGGATTAATATAAAATGTGGCATTCTAATTTCTCTTCCTACTAGTAGACAAAGAGAATTAATAAAATAGAAATGGTTGCTTTATTATTTGTTAAAACCTATTCCCTGCAGAGTTTTTGAGAAAGGGTTAATCATTTCTTATTTGTTAAAGGCTTTGAACAAGATATAATTCAAAGTAGTATTTTTATACTATGAAAAGCACCATACAGCCATAAAATATTATTATAATTATAATGTAGTTCAGCAATAGTTACTAGCATGCTATTATAACAGAGAAGGGCACCTTAAAGGAATCAAGTGAAATAAAGTTACCATGTGATTTTTGTAATGTTGCTGACATGATGACAGTCAAGGGAGGGGGAATGCCACTTGCTATTGTTCTGGAAGCAGTAGTGTGATTAATTTTCCATAATGATAAAGGAGCTGTAGGTAAAGAACCTGTCTCAAGAGAGAGAAAAAGCACAACAAGGAATTTGAAGACCTGAAACTGGTTATATTTTACCTTTCCTGGATCCAATTGCTCTTAGTGTGTCTAAATTTAATGAGTAAACTAAATTAAATTATTGAACTTAAAGAGGAAAAGGTGTATGGTTTAAATTCAGAAAATAATAATACCTAGATCATTTCACCTGTGTAGGTGAAAACGGGCAGTTTCTGTGTGCAGCGGTGAGGGAAGGTGGAGAGATAACAGAATGTGGAAGCTTGTGGTGTGATTAAACCCGCAAACCTGCATCATTCAATATCTGTGCCAGTCACTAATTCTTGACTCATAAAATAATTTCTTGGTGAAAAGTAAAACAAAACAAAACATTAATGAAAAGTTGTTTGTGCTCTGACTTGTTCCAGCTGAGAGATTATATGAAGAAAAAATGCTTATATTCTCTTAACAGGTGTTTAATAGGAAAACACATGTTTTGGGCCTGAATATCAGGATCATTTTTGATACCACTTTCAGCAGCTTTGCTATTTGAAAAGCTCTTCTTTTCAAAGAATGCTTTGCTGTATGCGCTCTTATTTTTAAAAGATATTAAATACCATATAAATAAATAAATAAATACCATAGAATTTAGAATTATTTTAGTAAGGCAGCAAATACTTGCACCATCAACATCACACGAGTAGACCATAGGTATATCCATAAAGGTTAACATTATTGACCTAATATTAATATTTTTTTTGTTTTAAATAAAACTTGAAATGCTGTTTATGTTAAGGATGAAAAAAATGGAACTGGAAAAATGTCACCAAAGTTCAGGTTCCAATTATTGCTGCCCCAATTTAAGTTAGTGCACCCCATTTAAGTTATGACTGAGATATGTACTTAAAAATATTTTTTCAAGAATGTGGTATTGTGGCCGGAGAAAATAAAAGAAAAGAAGATTAAGAAAATAAATCAATTAAAATTGGACTTTCTTTCTTAAATAAAGTAGCTGGAGAAAAAAATCAATATTATAGTACACCAGTTAAAGAAGCTGATTTGAGTATGTGTAAAATTCAGTGTTTGATATCAATTCGATGGACTTGAATGTCTATCATTTATATATTTTAACGGACATACACTATAAACCATTATATATATGGGACAATAGAAGAGTATTTAAGTGAATGGTAAGTAAGGGGCCAGAACAATGTATGGCTAAAGATATATCATTCTAAACATCGGAAATCTGTTTTTTCTTCTTTCTTCCCCTGGGCCCTATCCCCTGCAATAGTTTCAAAAACCTTTTGTTGGATATTGGAGCACTGCTCAAACTTTATTACTTTAGAACATTTATCAGTATTTTAATTGTTTTGGTCAAAAGAATTGTTGTGAATACTGGGGGCTTCTTCCCCTTTTCCCCTCACTTTGTTTACCTTTAATAATATACTTCAAGTTTCCAGTCCCTCTGATTACTTTTCTTCCCTAGTCTGAAGTAGGTCAAGTAGTAAAACACACAATTTACTAATTGGAACAAAATACTAAATAAATTCCCAAACAGCAGTTTTCAGATATTACCCATTAACTACTCAAGAAAATCTTTTAACATATATATAAAACTGATGTTTCCAGAGAAGTCTTACAGCACATTCTTTATTCTTTAATAAGAAAATAATGAGACTTTCCACAACAATGTATTTGAATGGGGTGAGGGATTGCATACACTCTTTTATTAATATTATTTTAGTGAAGATAAATATAATCCTTTAAATTATATTTTAGCATGGTGGTAGTATATAAATACTCTTTGTTTTTGTCACAAAGATTTTTAAAAATGTTTCCCCTGTAATTATTTCTAATGGCATATTATTAGCTTATATAATATACATTGGAATTTTACTATGAATTTTTTAAAATTTGGGAATGATTGTCTACCTGTAGATATCAGCCCTCCAGCACAAGGAGTGGATCACAGACAAGTACAGAAGGAACTAGGAGATGTCATTGTTCGTCTTCATACTCCAGTTGTATTGACACCCACGACTGTTCAAGTCACATGGACAGTAAGTTCTGGAAGGCCATGTTAATAATAGTCTCTTTTTTTTTCCTTTAAGAAAACAAACCAAAGAAGAAAAAATAAGTCAAAAAATGGTAATAAAACTCTTACCATTTAAAAATCAATGTGTAACCAATCACACAAAAAAGAAAAACATTCAATAGATGAAAGAATAAATATAGGAAGGAAGGATTGATTGCAGTATAAATGAAATATGTTCGGTCTTCTGAACTTTAACAGGTTTATTGAGATAGAATTTATATACCAAAGTTAAAATGTACAAGTTAATGGTTTTTAGTATACTTACAGAGTCATACAATCATCACCAAAATCTGATTTTAGGACATTTCATCATCCCCAAATTAAATCTTGTGCCCATTAGCAGTCCCTTCTCCATTCCCTTCACTTGAGCTTTTTGCAACCACTAATCTGCTCTCTGTCTCTATAGATTTGCCTAGTGCTTTCATAGGAATGAAATGCAATATGTGATCTTTTGAGCCTGGCTTCTTTCACTCAGCATAATGTTTTTGAGGTCCATTCATGTTATAGCATGTATCAGTATTTTGTTCCTTTTATTTCTTAATAGCATTCCTTAATAGCATACAGATACCAGCATATACATCTGTTTGTCCATTCATCAGCTGATACACCTTTGAGTTGTTTCTACTTTAGGCTATCATGAATAATGGTGTCATGAACATTTGTGTACAAGTAAACATACATTTTATTTCTCTTGATATTTACCTAGAAGTTATTGAGTAATACGATAATGCTGTGTTTAACATTGGATGAACTGCTGACATGTTTTATAAAGTGGTTATACCATTTTATGTTCCCACTAGCAATATTTTAAGATTCCAGTTTTTTCCACATCCTTGCTAATTTCTCTCATATTCCCACCAACACTTCTTATCTTCTGTCTTTTTATTATAGCTATTCTAGTGAATGATGAATGGTATATCATTGTGGCTTTCATTTGCATTTGTTTCATGACTACTGATGTTTTTTTTTTTTTTTATTGCTTAAAGCATTACAAAGGGTATTACATATGTGTCCTTTTTTTCCCCGCCCTTGACAATACCCCGGCTTCCCCTACCCCCCCAGTGTCTTATGTCCATTGGTTATGCTCATATGCATGCATACAAGTCCTTCGGTTGATCTCTTACCCCCCTCCCTCCTGCCCCCCAACCCTCCCCAGCCTTCCCGCTGCAGTTTGACAATCAGTTTGAGGCAGCTCTGCCTCTGTATCTATTATTGTTCAAAAGATTATAATGGTCTCTATTATCCATGAATGAGTGTCATATTCCCACCAACACTTCTTATCTTCTGTCTTTTTATTATAGCTATTCTAGTGAATGATGAATGGTATATCATTGTGGCTTTCATTTGCATTTGTTTCATGACTACTGATGTTTTGAATCTTTTCATGTGTTTACTGAGCAATTATATATCTTCCTTAGAGAAATCTCTGTTTAAATGATTTGCCCATTTTTAAATTGGGTTGTTTGTCTTCTTATTACAGTCGTGTAATAATTCTTTATCTATAGAATACGAATTGTTTATCAGATATATAATTTGTAAGCATTTTCTCCTAATCTGTAGTTTGTTTCTTACTTTCTTAATGGTGTTATTGAAACACAAAATATTTAAATTTTGATGAAGAATTCTTGTAAATTTAAATCAAACATCTTTATATTCTTTTAGCTGAACATCATCCAGCAGCACCAAACATGTACATATATAATTTTAATAAGTTGACATTTAAGTTTAAAAATTAATGGGTTTTAAGAAATAAATTAATATTTTAATATATGCTAAAGTGTTCAATTTCATCCTATATAATAAAAGACTAATATGCAAATCGACCAAACCATGGAACAACTGGTTGCTATGATGCTCACTGATCACAAGGGGGCAGACACTCAATGCAGGAGCTGCCCCCTGGTGGTCAGTGTGCTCCCATGGCGGGGGGAGGCAGGGGCACCGCTCATCCAGAAGCCAGGCTTATGGCTGGTGAGCTCAGCCGCGGCTGGCGAGCGCAGTGATGGTGGCGGGAACCTCTCCTACCTCCTCGGCAGTGCTAAGGACGCCTTGGGGGATGTCCACCTGCCAGTTTAGCAGGCGGACACTCCTCAAGGGGTCCCGGACGGCAAGAGGATACAGGCCAGGCTGAGGGACCCCCCCTTAGTGCATAAATGTCGTGCATCAGGCTTCTAGTGCATTAATAAATGTTAACCTGCCCCTGTCATTTCAAAATACAAAATGTTTTGACCCACATTGTAGCCAATTCAGTGGAAACAACAAATACTATAAAAATAGCCATTAATCACATTAGAAAATGCTAACACTTGTGCATGTGCTTGAGTCTACATGTGTGTCTGTTTTGTGAAGAGAGAGGTAATCTTCCCTGAGTCTAATACAGTTAGTACCAACTTCTCCTTTCTGTCAAAGATCTCTCTGTTACAATTTCTAAAAATCCATAAAGGCATATATCAGGATGATAGAAAGGCATGCATTCTTTCAGTCTTCTGTGTTTGTGATAAACTTTGTATGTTATATAAGTAAAGGATATTTTAGTTAGACATTCCTAGAAGAGTTTTCACTTTAATTATAATCTTAATTAGAAAGTATTTATAATTATGTCTCTATTGTGTTTTTTTTTTATTGTAGGAGAATGACTGTAAGTAAAATAGATAAATAAATAAAAAAGACCAAAAAAACCTGAACTACCTTTCCTCCAAGTTTCTTTGGGGAAATAACTGTCTCACCCATTCCCATTAATTTCATCAACAAAGAAAATTGAGGGGAAAATGATTATTTTCATCAATCTTAATTTATTATATTTGAAATATAGAATACAATGAATAGAATTCTTCCAGTGTCCTCTCAATAATAAATTCATTGAACAAATCCAATCCAACAGCCTTTTTTGAGAACCAATTTTTTACCCAATGTGTGTGTGTGTGTGGGGGGGGGGCAGCTATAAAAAGAGACGCAAACAATGCAAATTATTTTTTTAAATATTTTTTTATTGATTTCAGAGAGGAAGGGAGAGGGAGAGAGAGATAAAAACATCAATGATGAGAGAGAATCACCGATCGGCTGCCTTCTACATGCAAATTCTTAATGACAGTACACAGGAATAAGTGCCATAACAGTATATATGCTCCCTATAGACAGGTTTCAATCAAAGAGGAAGTGAATGATTCCATCCTCAAAAAACAGAAAAGATATTACCTTTCATGTACTTTTCTTTGAGAAAATATGAAGGTCTTACTTATTAGAACGGCTGAAACTTAGACATTAAGGCTTTTTACTCTAATTTTATAATTTTATGAAAGGAAACCAATACAGACAGATTGAATAATGTTCCTAAATCCCATGTATATTTATAGGTAAGAATAGCATTAGAATTTCCTTACTTCAAATCTGCTTGCAGTGTCCTCACTGTAAAGAAAAACTGTAGACAAATACGTAGTGGAATATTTAATGGTGAATTTCAACATATAATCCTGAATGGGGCATTTTGTTGCTTCTTAAACCACACCATCTGATTGATCAGTCATGGTTTTGGCCCCTAAGTACAAAATTGAGTAATACTTTAACAAAAATAAAACTAAGTTTATAACATTTTAAGAGTAATTATGACTAGGATTACATTGTTTCTAATTTCATTTTTATATAATTTCACATAGACATTCTATTTTCTGCATGCATATAATGGTTTCTATTCTTCTGTTCCTATGAAGGGAACATAAGGACCTCATCTTTTTTTCCAATGGCACAGTAGGGTGATTATCTGCCATGCCTCATCCATTTTCTGTAGCTTTGACTAGATACAAAACTAACAAGGCCAAGGATATAGTTGTATTTTTAATAGCAGATTTTTACTCATTATCAATTGAAAAAGTCTTATCTGCTCTATTGGGAGTATTGAAGGGGCTTTTTAAAGCTGCTTCTAAATGTGGAAATTATTTGGATAAGAATCAAAGTCATTATGTTCATGAAGTCAATCACTTTAAAAGTCATTGAGTTAAAAAGAATACATCAAATCACATCAAAACTACAGGTCAGTAGTCTGGGAGTTCGTTCAGGAAAGGGACCTTATCATAGTCATCTTTATGTCCCAACAAGATCGTCATTTCTGGTTTTCATATCTCACTCCCTCATGAGCTTGACTTCTGAGAGTCTGGCTATATTTTTAATTTCTGTTTTTTTCAGAGCAAAGCATCATTTATGAAATACCCTTTCAGTAACTGTCTGCTACATGATCAACTCAATTGTTTCATACATGTTTTTATTTTAAAAAAGAAAATGTTTAATATATCACAGAGTATTGCTCCCCATGAGATATGCATGTAGTTGAGAGGTAAATGTAGCGAAATAAAGCCCAACTGGGGGTGAGGTTGGTTATCAATGGAATTATGACCAACTATTTCATTTCAATGTCCTATTTTCAACTTCCGAAATGTGCATGTCTTTTTAAAATTATTACATTGTTTGAGTTACAGATGTTTTGGGTTTAAGGGGGCAACTATATTCCCCAGCCCATGTGTTTAGATTTGGGGCCAAGTGAGAAGGTATCTATAATAGGTGGCAGGATTCATTTACCAAACATACATGACATTTGTACTAAAAACAAACAAACAAACGAACAAAAAAACACATGCCCCACAAGGCTAATCTTGAAACAGCAATAAGTTAGCACATGCTACATTCTAAAAATGACTATTTTTATAATGAGGGTAGGCATAAATGATAAGAAAACGGCTGTTTCACAAAGAAATGGCAATAATTATTACATTTAAAAATATTTATTCTGGTGTGTGTGTGTGTGTGTGTGTGTGTTGGTTCAAGGACAAAAAGATTCACAGACTCATTGTCCTTAAATATTACAGCTACAGGAGGTGAAAGAGTGCCCTGGAGAACCAGGCTCAGAATTCAGCTAAGTCCAGACAGGTCACTTAGCAGACCAAGCCCACCTAATAAAATTTGTTTTGACTTTTGAGTTTAGGTGTATTTTTTTAATATTGAAAAGATAAATATTAAGCATCTTACTTAAACATTTTAATGCAAGTGATGATATGAGGGACACATGTGGACACCTGTTTTTTAGTATATTGTTTACTTAACAATGATGCTTTATCATTGTGCATCTTTAAAACTTGCAAGTGTTTTAACTTATAGTAGTCCTTTAATTGTGTCTGTGTCCTTGTAACATGGGTGTTATTTGAACAAATTAAGTAACTTGAGACTCAGAAAGTTTGAGGCTAAGCTATAACTCAACTGAGACTGAACCTCTCTTCATCATTTCACTTTTTCCTTAAGACAACTCTTTTTTTACTCATATTTCAGAAAACACCAATTTTTAAATTTTTATAAACCCATGGAATTGTGTCCAGACTCATAATCAGAATGGTAATAAAATTAGTTACAAGCATATGATTTAACCTGAAAATGACCACCTGTCAAAATGTGCTTCAGAAGTCAATAGCGTAGAATGCATAGTCAATAAAAATCCCACCTAGTTTTTTAAAGGAAGTGTTCAGCATTTTCATTTTTGCTTCCACCTGTAACAACATTTTTTTTCCAGAAAAGAATGTATTGCAACTGCACATAATCCAGTTAGACTATTTAGTTATTAAGTGGGTCATTAGAAAATGCTGGCTGAAGGCATGTACACTGAAGTGAGGAAGGCAATGTTGTATAGTAAACATTAACTTCATAAACTCCCTAAAACACTTAATTAATGAAAACCAAACATGGATAAAACCAATTTACCCTGATTTACAGGCTCCCTTCATCTGGAAACAGCTGCTTAATGTGCTTCTTAAAAACACAGCTTGCTTCTTTCAGTATTAACAAGCTATTATTGTGAGTTATGTCTTTCTTTCAGTATATAAATTCACTTAAAGTGAATGCAGAGAATTTTATAAAATGCAATTTTAATGTTGTTTTAACATATGCTGTGGTGATATTTTGGAACACTGACAGTTTTGATGAAGGGTATCTCTCTGTGGCTCTCATAAATTTAACTTTTGGCTTTTTAGTTGCCTTGTTTTTTAATGTCAGAACAACTTCTGCTTTTCAAAAATATATGTCCATTGGTGTAAACACAAACTTGTGGCATGGATGAGGATTCAAAGACTATGGCTTTGGCATCAGAACGGGGCTGACTTTTTCATAACATAACCTCACACAAGAGTAGCACCAATATCAGAAAATCATTGAGGGTTAGAAAGCTGTCGGGTGGATAAAGGAATTCTTACTCGATGAGACTCATCTATGAAACTGCAGTTAGCTATACATAGTAACACACATGCCTACTTTTGCCAACTTCATGTGTTTTTCTAACGTGGACATTTTAAATACAGAAAAAACTGTTCCTTTGTTCTGTGGTATTTTGACTGTGATTCTGTAAATTTTTTTGAATGCAACTCAAGAGGTTAGATTTTAATACATGAAAGAATAACATTTGTTTATAACGTGTTCACAGTTGAATAAAGAAATTTTAACAAGCTGAAATAACCATTTTTATCATTACATATTCTATTTCCTTTCTCCTCAAACTTCATAAAATGAGGTCTCCCACCTCTTCTCCATTAAATTTTACACTTCCTTTGACTGTTAAATATGTCAAGTGAAAGGACTTTTAGAATATGACTAGCAAACTATAATATATGAAATGTTAATTGGAGAAGGTGCTATGGTATTTATATTTGTCAAGCATTTCTAGAAACATGGTAAGACATTTAAAAAAGCTAGAAGTCTTCTTCTCCCTGAAAATGAAAAAAAAAATGGTAGTATTCCAGTAAAGATTGTTTCATAAATGTATAAAGAGAATATGTTTCATTTTTAGCTTACATTTTTATGTATTTGGTTTTATGTAATTATTATGAGTGAACTTATTTTTTAAATTTCTATTTGATGTCAGTTTTGAGATTCAAAATCTCAGATTTTCAAGAACAGCTGTTTATCCTCATTTAAGAATGAAAGGATCAAGAAAGTTGTCAAATTGTGTCAGTAGTGGGACTATTGGTAAATTAATAAACGTCTTTAATATCTGTTGAGGGCTATAAGCTGTTTTATCCATTTAGAACAGATGCTCTAGCAACACAACTTTTGGACTCTCACATGCTTCCCCATCAACAGGAATTGGACACGTGCCGAGCCTGCTCTTCCACTGGATAGATCCCACTGTCCTTGTAGATCTTAGCACTCCTTCAGGGAAACTTCATCTTCTCTTCCTGATCCAGCCAATTCTTCTCCACTCCAGGCTTCCTTAGCTCCTTGTACATCTCAATCATAGCATTTGTTTATGTCTATTTGTTATTACTATGACTGGACATTGTTTGGGTGATCATTAGACAATTCCCATCTTCCACTTGGGCTCTAAGCACTATGAAGTCAGGGACTGGCTCCTTTCATTCTCTTTTATCCCTACATTTTCATATGCTTTTTTTTCTTTATTGATTAAGATATTAAATATGTGTTTTTATCCCCCACCCCCCCTCATGACCCCTTGTGTCTGTGTCCATTGATTAGGCTTATATGCATGCATTTTTTATCCCTACATTTTCATATGCTTTTTTTCTTTATTGATTAAGATATTACATATGTGTTTTTATCCCCCACCCCCCCTCATGACTCCTTGTGTCTGTGTCCATTGATTAGGCTTATATGCGTGCATATAAGTCCCTACATTTTCAAATTCCTGGTGCTTATTAGTAGGAACTCAAAAACTGTTTTTGATTAAGTGAAAGTGTTAGTGAATGGACAGAGATGAGAGTGGAAATCTCTAGCAAACTATATATGCAACCACAAAGACAGGAATTCTTGAAGGACAAACAGATAAGAAATGGAGCTAGAAAAATTGGCAGGTCTACGTCTTGACAGGACTTTGTGTTAATCCAAAGAATTTGAATTACGTAGTATCTTGGATACCATGAAGTATTTTAAACAGGATAGAGAGTTGTTCCACTCTTCATTTTTGAAATAATAACTTAGGAACAATGTGCAGTCAGATTTAGAAGAGGGTATAAGATGCTGGGATGTGAGTTAGAATGCTGTGGCATCGTCTGATGATAGCTGATGAGGACAGAAACAGGGACAAGAGAAATGAGGATGGAGCCACTGTGGTGCCTAAATTACTTCCCTTTGGTTTCAAAAGCTTTTTGCTTTGTTTTTCAGGTGGATCGGCAGCCCCAGTTTATTCAAGGCTACCGTGTGATGTATCGCCAGACCTCGGGCCTGCAGGCCACACCAACATGGCAGAATTTAGATGCTAAAGTCGCAAATGAGCGAAATGCTGTCCTAGTCAATCTGAAAAAGGGGGTAACTTACGAAATTAAAGTTCGACCTTACTTTAATGAGTTCCAAGGAATGGATAGTGAATCCAAAACAGTTCGTACTACCGAAGAAGGTCAGTATTCAGATCCCTAACATGAACCTAACTTAGACCATAATGAAACCAATTTCTGTTGAAGTTGTAGTTTATCATCTTTCTTAGAAGAGTAGCAAGAGAGACGCTAAAAGTGAATCCAGGAAGGAGTATTTTTCTCTTTTTGTTCTGAGAATTCCATAAAATCTGACAACTCAAAAAAAAAAGACATTCAAATAATTTGTAAACATTTGTCCCACATCTTCTTTGTCAGTACATTGGAACTTGATTATAATATTTTCCCATATTTTTTCCATGGATTAGACTCATTTTGCTTCATCAAAACAGGCTACTGGAAACTCAAGAGCACAGGCTGTTCATTGTCACGCCTCTTAGAATGACATCTTCTTCTTGAAGTCTTCTTCCCTGTGGCCTCTGCTGATCTGACTCATAATTTCTAATTTAGAATGCCACACGCATGTTTGCAATAGTTTTCTTCTTACAGTTGTTTTCTCCATTCCCCATTTTGGAACTTTTCTTGCCTGCACTTTAAAGTTAACCTGTGAGAAACATAAATAAATGTAGGTCTCAACCAGTCCATTTACTAGCGTCTTCTTTATTTAACTACATGCTTATAATAAATTCTATCATAAAACTAAAAAAAGTCAGATGCCAAGTAAAATAAATTTCCTCCCTTTTCTGTTTTTTACTAATTTTATGTATATGCTCCATTAAAAAAAAGCCTCTTTTTTCTAAACATACTTTATATAAATTAATATACTAAACTCAAGAAAATGTATATAGGTTGTTCACGCTAAAGTGTAAATGCTCATTTGTCTAAAGAGCTTTTCAAGTATGCATATCTTATAATAAGCAACACAATGAAAAGGTTATCTTGACATTGGTTTGCAGTGTGATACACTGACAGGCATAAGTACAGGCTTTTAAAGGCATCACTAATATATGTTTAGGATATGTAAAGAAAAAAGTACTAAAAATTAATAATATAGTCATCACCATTACATTTTACTTAGGTTGAATAGGTATAGTACTAACAAGTGTGATAATTCAATACAGAATCCCATGTTGAAGTATACTTCCAAAATCAATTCCACTGCACTTAGACTTTTCCCCTGGATTAGACATTTGTCACCATCGCAGTATGTTCATCTCTGATTTCAGAGACCTTGTGAAGGTAACAAATGGAACTCAGCTAACCTGTGCCTGGGAATGATGAGTGGTGATTTGGGTTCTTTCACATTCATAGAGAGAAGCTGGGCACAGGAATCATTGGCCCGTAAGGAAGCAGGCATGGTGTTCTCTCCACGCCAGCAGAAAGGCCAACGAAAAACTAGCTCTCAGAAGTTATTTTTCAATACAGTCTACTTAATAACGACAAAACTGGTAGACGGTGGTGAGATTTATGTCATCGTGCCACATTTCAGAGCATTATTGTCACACAGAGGAATAATAAAGGGTGGTATTGTGGTACGTGTGTGTCCTGCTTCTGAATGTAAATATGACCAAACTTACCAAACATGGGAGACTTTATAGACAGGCTTTAAAATGTATTTTACAATTCAATTGTATATATTTTCAAAGGGCTAAACCATGTAGAGTTATGAAAGCATTGACCCTTTTACATAATAATCTTTTGAATTTTGTTTTAACTGTAAGGATTTTTATATTGATTTTTCTTTCTTTGGTTTAAACTCAGAGATTCACTGAGAATTCATGCTTTCCATCAGAATTAGTATTTGTTACCTCTCAGATACACTGTATGGGACACTACAGTATAAAATCAGAAATTCTTTTCACTCACCTTTTCTCAGTGGGATTACAGAGAAACCATAAAGGAAGCAAATATAAGAAGTTAAAATGTGTCCATGAGACATTTGACCCAACATGAACTGTTTTCATTTCTAGCTTCAGAGTTCCTTGCCCATCAATATAAAATAAGTCTGAAATCTTAAATTATGAGTCAATTTAGAGCAGTAAATTATTTTCCCAATATGAAAAGACAAGTATTTTCCATTTGTTGGTATAATTTATAGCTGTATCTCTGTTTTTGTTAATTAAAATCAAACTAAAATAAATAGGTTGTCAATAATGCCATCACTCAGAGATAATGATTAATAAAATTTTAGATCAAAGTTTTAAAATTAGACATACCTGTGTTCAAATTCTACCCTGTTGCTTTTACCTTCTGAGGTTATTGTGAGAATTAAATTTGACACTTAGCTCTCTGCTGGGTATATAGAAAATACTCATCAGAATGTTAGCTGTTAAATTTATTGTTCAGTACATAGTACTACAGCTATTGTATTTGCTTTAAATCCATCCGTTATATTTAAAATATATTTTATAAAAACTGTCACTCTTGAATACTATATACACAGTTAGAATATCGGAAACCAGAATCTCCTGCTTCTTGTCTTCAGATTTGTATTCTGCAAGCACCATCAATGCACACCAAGACTTACAGTTTGTGTTTATTCTAATTGCTTCTTCTACAGCCCCAAGTGCTCCTCCACAATCTGTCACTGTGCTGACAGTTGGAAGCCACAACAGCACAAGTATTAGTGTTTCCTGGGATCCTCCTCCTCCAGATCATCAGAATGGAATCATTCAAGAATACAAGGTAGGGCCTGCATGAAGGAAGGTTCACAGAGCAGGCTCCCAGGGGAGTCTTAAGAGCACAAGAATGAGGCACATCTTCAGTGTCTCTCTTTTTGAATTTGAATGTAAATTAATATTTACATACTAGAAGCCAGGTGCACAAAATTCGTGCATGGTGTGGGGTCCCCTCAGCCCAGCCTGCACCCTCTCCAATTCTGGACCCCTTGGGGATGTCCCGGAGATCGGGCCTAAACCGGCAGTTGGACATCCCTCTCACAATCTGGGGCTGCTGGCTCCTAACTGCTCACCTGCCTGCCTGCCTGCCTGGTCGCCCCTTACTGTCCCCCATGCTGTCCTGGTTGCCCCCAACTGTATCCCCTGCTGGCCTGGTCATCCCAACTGTACCCCCTGCCAGCATGGTCACCCCTGACTGCCCTCCCCTGCTGGCCTGGTTCCCGCCAACTGACCCCCCTGCCAGCCTGGTTGCCCCTAACTGCCCTTCCCTGCAGGCCTAGTCACCCCAACTACACCCCTGCTAGCCTGGTCACCCCACATAGCCTGCTGTTCAGTCGGTTGGTCGTCCCTCACTAACCCCCCTGTTGGCCTGGTAGCCCCACACAACCTGCTGTTTGGTCGTCCATCTGATTGTTTCAGTCATGACAGCCCCTGGCTTTTTATAATTAGGATCTGAGTGACAGGTAAAACAGTGGTTCTCAACCTTCCTAATGCCGCGACCCTTTAATGCAGTTCCTCATGTTGTGGTGACCCCCAATCATAAAATTATTTTCGTTGCTACTTCATAACTGTAATTTTCCTACTGTTATGAATCGTAATGTAAATATCTGATATGCAGGATGTATTTTCATTGTTACAAATTGAACATAATTAAAGCATAGTGATTAATCACAAAAACAATATGTAATTATATATGTGTTTTCCGATGGTCTTAGGTGTAAAAGTTGTTCGACCCCCAAAGGGGTCGCGACCCACAGGTTGAGAACCGCTGAGATAAAACAACAAATGGATAGGGGATTAGAACCTAAACCTAAAGTCACAGATAACACAAACTCAGTTGCACAAGTAAACCATAATGGTGGAGCAGGGTTTTTTTCTGATTAGATTGTTGTGTAACACACCTTATAGCAGAATTTTTAAATCGTGTTCTCAGAAAAAGATGCTTCTGGGGTTTAGAGTCGTGGGGTGTGAATAGGAGGGTGGGCAGCAACAACTCCCACTCTGCTTTTATCTGCTTTTGTTAATGTGCTGAAATCTTGCAAAATATATCATTCAAAAATGAAAGCCATTAAATACATTTTGAAAAAACCATGTTACGAACAAATGGCTAATTATCTTATTTTTCAGCTGAACTTTTTGCTATTTAGAAACAGTATATATCTATTGTTTCTTCATCATCATTTGATGTTTAAGAGACACAAGATATATAACTGATAAATAAGATTCTGATTAGGTGATGTAATTAGACCACATTAAAACTTGCAAAAATTTTAAAACTATAATTTTTGATATTAGTAAATATTTACATAATTATGACAACAATAAATAGACAGTTCTATTAGAATGGAAAACTAGACACCCTAATTGACCCCAGAAATTAATATATGGCATGTGAAATTAAGCTGAATTATTTCACACAAAACATTGCAGATTGAATTATGTTATTTCTAAGAAAAAATGATAAACTTAAAATATAATTTTTTAAATTAATGGTTAACTTACTGAAACAAATGAGAAGAATGTTCATAAGCACTTAAAATTATTCCCATTACATTATAAAAACACAGGCATAAGAAATATGGGAATAATGCGCTTTCAAATAGGAAAAATTATACAGATTTTAAAGGTTTTTAAGTGTTAGGACACATTGTTTTAAGACCAACAAAAATCTACTATGGTGTGCGTGTGTGTGTGTGTGTGTGTGTGTGTGTGTGTGTGTGTGACTTTTAATAAGGTTAGCATTTTACTATTGTATAACCTGAGACTAAATATCCTAAAGTTCCATCTACTTAAAATTGATTTTTTTACAACATGAAAAATTGTGTCACAAATTATAAGCTTTCTCAATTATATGAGATTGCAATATTTTGGTGACAATATATATTTAGATTAGGACTAAATATTCCTTCAAAGTAACACAGGTATCATAGTGTAAATCAAAAAAATATACAATTCACAAATATTGTTTTAAAGAATTAGCTTCAGGAAATTTACCTATATCAGAAATAAACCCTTTATGTTCTTTATGTATCTATATTGTAAAATATTATATAATAAGAATACAAATATAGAGAGAGCACATTTCTATTTATAACACTTTGTACAGTAACAGATTTGCATATCCAAGAAGAATGTATGCCTTAAAATTTTATTATTACTAGAAGTAAAAGTCCAGCATTCATCACATTAGTATTTAAAGACTTCCCAACACTTTGTTCTCATGCATATGTACTTGTGTGTGAATATATTGATCAATATTAAGATTTATTACTGTCAATGTAAATATTCACTTTAATTTCATCTCAGTCAATACCTATAACTTAAGTCAATTAATCTTGTTAGCTACTTCTGTGTAAGTTAATATTTTCTTAAATGAAATATAAATTACTTAGATGTGCACCTACGTACTTTGAATATTACAACTTACAATCATCATATTTTAATAGATTATATGTATAATAAATCTTGAAAAGTAAATTAAGAAGAGGAATTTATGTTTTAATCCCTATGCAAATGCTCAACCAGGGACCACTGTCTACAGGCATTAAGGAAATTATTGTGTTATGAGCATTCAATGTTGATTATTAGTTATAAAGGAACATGGCAGAGTTTCAGCTTTCCTTATTGTTCTTTCCTTAATACACACATACACACAAAAACACACACTGCATAAATTAGGCTTTAAAAATTTCAATAACGGATCCTATATAATAAAGAGCTAATATGCAAATGGTTGTCACACCCTCACACTATGATGCTGTAATGGCTCAGACACTCAACACTGGGGAGAGAGGAATGGAGACTAGTCAGGCACAAATGAGTTCATGAGAGAGGAATGGGGACCAACCAGGCTGTGGCCCGGGAGAGAGACAAGCTGCCCACCCTGTGGTCCTGGGCACCAGCAGCTGGGGCTGAGGACTGGGAGAGGGACAAGCCACCCACCCCACAGTCCTGAGGGCCAGCGCCTGCGGCTGCAGCCCAGGCAAAGCCACCCACCCATGGTCCCCTGTGGCTGCAGCTGCCCCGGGCGAAGCTGGCCCAGGTCCTGGGTACCTGCGGCTGGCCAGAGGGAGGGAAGCCCAGGTCCCAGGTACCTGCGACCAGCTGGAGGAGGGAATCCTGGGTCCCAGGTGTGGGGCAAGGCAGAAGTGATTAGGGATGATCAGACCAGCAGGGGGGCAGTTAGGGGTGATCAGGCTGATCGGGGAGAAATCAGGGTTGATCAGGCAGGCAGGCAGAGGTTGTTAGGAATGATCAGGCAGGCAGACAGGTGAGCAGTTAGGATCCAGTGGTCCCGGATTGCGAGAGGCAGTTGGACATCCCCTGAGGGGTCTTGGATTGGAGAGGATGAAGTTTGGGCTGAGGGGACCCCCGCCCCCGTGTACCAATTTTGTGCACTGGGCCTCTAGTACTTCTATAAGCCTAGGAAGTAATTGATCACCACTAAATATATTTGATCTACTATATTGATCTAATTATGAGAAAGGATAAGTCTATCTTCTTTTGTTATTCACTTTACATTTCTGTAGATCTGGTGTCTGGGAAATGAAACACGATTTCATATCAACAAAAGTGTGGATGCAGCCATTCGATCTGTAATAATTGGAGGATTATTCCCAGGTATTCAATACCGGGTAGAGGTTGCAGCAAGTACCAGTGCAGGGGTTGGAGTGAAAAGTGAACCACAACCAATAATAATCGGTGAGTACCAACCTATGTGGTCTGTGTATCATCAGTTAGCTGGTGGCACGTAGATTATTTTTTGAATCTCCTTCCTGAGAGTGGATATGCAGTAATGAATGAGAGGGTACACACATCATACAGGCAAATGGGTTAGCTGACTAGAGTTTCTTACAAAAATGATTAGCCATTGCTCATACTGTTAAGACTCCCATAAACTTCTTAAAATTATAATTACTGAGTTTAACTGGTGAAAGGTTGTTTGAAAATTATTTTTAATCAATAGTTAAATAAGTAATGTTGATACCAATCTATATATATATATATAAACCCTAAGTGACTGGTCGACTGGTCGCTATGACACGCACTGACCACCAGGGGACAGATGCTCAATGCAGGAGCTGCTCCCTAGTGGTCAGTGCACTCCCACAGAAAAAGTGCCACTCACCTGACCAATCGACGGCGCCAGACGCCGGGCTCATGGCTGGTGAGCGCAGGTGGCGTGAGCCTCTCCCACCTCCATGGCAGCGCTACTGAGAGGCAGCAGGAGGCAGCAGCAGACACAGCAGGGTCCAGATGAGTGGGAATGGCTTGGTGCCCAGCCCGGGCTCAAGCTCCTACCTGGCCGCCTGCCGCTTCACACTCTACTATATCCCCCGAGAGGTCCCAGATTGTGAGAGGGTATAGGCCAGGCTAAGGGACCCCATCGGTGCATGAATCCATGCACTGGGCCTCTAGTGAAATATAATAAGACATGAGACACTTATGGAAGAAAGTGCATTATACTTCAAATCTATGTGATTTCTCTTAGCCAAAAAAAAAAAAAAAAGGTCAAAATGTAACGAGAGACAGGCCAAAATAAACTTTGTAATCTATATATACTATCCTGAAGAAGAAATCCCTATTAAATCTATTATCATTATTACAGAAAATTATTCCCAATCACTATGGATATGTTTGCCTGTTCTTAAAATATATAAAAATGGAATGGTACAGAACATAATATTTTGCATCTGGCTTCTTTCACTAAACATAATGTCATATATATATATATATATATCAATTAATATGTTTTAATTCTGAGCAGTATTAATTTGTGTGAATATATCATATATTATTTGTTTTCTCTTCAGAAAATGAACATTCTTGTGTAAGCCATGTTGAGAACTTTTTTTTTAAATTTCTTTGAGAGAAATAACTAAAGTGGAATGTCTGGGTAACAGGATTGAAATACTTTGATTTTATAAAAGACTTTACACAATTTTTTCCAAATTGCATACTTTTATAGAATCACTAGCAAAGAATATTATTTCCAATATTTCCATATTGTACCAACATTTGATGTTGCCAGTCTGTAATTTTAGCCATTCTTGTGAGTGTAAAAAGTACTCACTTCAGTTTTCTTTGATGACTAAAAATGGTGAGCAAGTTTACATGTGTATATTAGACATTCACATTTTTTTTGTAAAATGTCTAAATCTTTAACTTTTTAAAAGTATGTTGTTTGCCTCCTGCTAATGATTAGAAGGAATTATATAACCACTCCGTTTACAAATTCTTTGTCATGTATTTGTATTGCAAATACTTTTTTGTTTATGAATTCTCTATTCATTTTTAAAATAATCTTTTGATGAGCAAGTTTTAAATTTTAGTGAATTACAGTTGATCAAACTATTTTTTTTATGTTTAGTGCTTCCTAGGAAATTGTGTCCTGCCTCTAAATAGTGAAGATATTTTCTTATATTTTCTTCTACAAGCTTTATAATTTTAACTTTTATGCTTAAGTATATAATTTCTCTTCAAGTAATTACATGTGGTGTGAGGGTTGAGGCTTATTTATTTCCAAGTATATATCAAATTGCATTGGCATCATTTATTAACTTGCCTTTCCCCAGTTAACCATATATGTATGGATCCATTCCTGGATTCCCTGTGCTGTTCCATGTCTTTATATATCTGTCCATCTGCCAAAACACTGTTTTGATTACTGTAGCTTATAGAAAGTCATAAGATCCGGTAATGTGAATACTCCATTATTTTCTTCTGCAAAATTGTTTTGGTAGAAGAACTGTTTCAAAGCATCTTGTCAGTTTCTACAAAATATTGTTGGAATTGTTTCTTGAAAACAAAGTGAATCTATACATTAAATTGGAGAGATTAAACTTTTTTTTATTGTTGAGATATTAAGCATTTAAATAGTGAGTCATTCTCTCCAAAAATATGATGTATCTCTTTATCATTTACCTTTAATTTCTCTCAACAATATTTTGTCATTTTCAGAGTATGGTTATGTTAAACTTTTTTTCTGAGTATTTGATTATTTTTACACTAATGGGGTTCATAAAATTTTCTCAACTATTCTATATTATATATAAATTTACTTTAATATGTTGTTCTGTTATCATTTTATTAACTTCACTTATTTACTTTAATAGTTACGAACTACTTCTTATGCATATATTTGAAAAATCATCTGTTTTCTTTCTCCTTATTTGTGTTAATATGGTCAATTCTATTGACTGGTTTCAAAGATAAACTTTGCTTTGCAAACCCCAATTGGTCAGGATATACAGTGGGGCCTTGACTTACGAGTTTAATTTGTTCCGAGACCGAGCTCGTTAAGGAGCTCATTAAGGAGCTCATTAACTCAAATTACTCTGTCAACTCAATGCAAAAAATCGGCCGAGAGACAGCTGTTATCTCAAAAAGCTCATTAGTTGGGACACTCGTAAGTCAAGGCCCCACTGTATTATGCTTTTTACATATATTACTTAATCTGATTTGCTAATATTTTATAAAGAACTAGAGAGCCTGTGCATGAAATTTGTGCACTGGGGAGTGGGATTGGGGGAGGGTCCCTTAGCCTGGCCTGTGCCCTCTCATAGTCTGGGATCCCTCTCACAGTCTGGGACCCCTCGCTCCTTACCACCTGCCTGCTCACTGTTCCTTATCTCTTGGCTCACTGCTCCTTAGTGCTGCCACAGAGGTGGGAGAGGCTCCTGCCACTGCTGCTGCGCTAGCCAGCTGTGAGCCCAGCTCCTGGCTGAGTAGCGCTTCCCCTGTGGGAGCACACTGACCACCAGGGACATTTCTTGTGTTGAGTGTCTGCCCCTTGGTGGTAAGTGCACGTCATAGCAACCAGTGGTTCCGCTGGTCCTTCTGCAGTTCGGTAGATTTGCATATTAGGCTTTTAATATATAGGATTTGTGTGAG